TTAGTCAGTGTTTTTCAACACAGTTTCCAGAATGTATATGCTCATGATTTTATGGGTTTTCCTGTATAACGATCCCCTATTTTTTGATGAAGTCTGCAATGGATGTTTGGAAGCATGATTCTTACAGGATCCTGAAAAGTGAGGTATTTATCACATAAATGGTATTTGGATTATATATCATATATATATATATATATATATATATATATATATGGTCATTGTTGTTAAATATGCTGAGTGAGTATTTAGCATATGCATAGCTCTGCTGAGTGAATAAACTCAAGCCCTCCACGTTTCCATTCCACTAAGGGAGAAAACTCTAAGGGAATACGAATGAAAGTGATTATGTAATCTAGTAATTAGGAATAATATTCAAGGGCAAATCCTGCCATTAGTAAGATATGTGATCTCAGAGTGCGCACTTTTCCGTCTAACATTCCCATTAGATGAATGTGGTGAATTGGAATAGATGATTTGAATGTTCCTTTCGCTTCAACCACCTTTAAAGTTATTTTTTTAAAATTATAATTTAGGAGTAGAGGCATTGATGACTAAAAGAATAGAGGCCAATATTACTGGGCAGAACAATGCCACGGGGCCAGATTCAAAGTGTATCCCTCCCTGGACCCACTGGCAGACTCCCCTCAGCAGGCCTCAGTAAGTTTGGTCCAGCGTGGGAGAGAGAAAGCAGTGCTACAGGTATGTCAGACAGTGTCTAAAAGCCGCCAGGGAGCGGTCTGCCTATGAATCCCCAACCTGATCCCCCAGGGCAGCTACCTCACGAGTGGAGTGGCAAGGTTTGGAAAACGTTTTACATTTCTGAGAGATCCACATATGAATCACAGCATGACGTATTGTGCCTTCTAACGATGTATCAAAATGTAAACTAGGACTTGTATCTGAAAGCTATATTGCTATGAAATATAATCTATAAGGAGAAAAATTATGGTGTATTTTTTATTATTTCAAATTATCCTTCCTGATGTTAGGGGTTTGTCCACCAAGAGTCAAGGAAAATCTAAAGTGATCAAATGTGTCTTAAAAGTTTTATTATCTGTCTTTCAAAAGTTGTGGCTGTCATTCAGTTGGGGTTTTCCTATAGTCTGTCTATTTTAAAGTATTTACAAAAACGTCAGGAAAGAGAAACAGAGGCAGAAAGAGAAGGCAACGTGAGGGACACTTGGTCACATTTTCACTTTTCAAGGTAACTCTGAACTCATACTTGGCAAATGGTGACAGTTAAGATATATCAAAATCTTATTTACCTCAATCAAATCCCCAAATCCCAGTTGAACATGTATACTATAAAAAGAGCACGTGTTTCATGGGAAGCACTAACATGTGTGATGTATGAAAACACTGCACTTCATAAACTGTCACAAATCTCAACTTCTAACTTAGATATTTCATTTTTAAAGCATTAATGATATGATAATGGATAATTTTTCTTATATCCTCTTTCTCCTCTTCCTCTCTTTCCTCTTCCTGACTTGCTCCCTGGCAACTTGGCAAGGTTTCTTTCTGGATAGGCAGAGTGAGGGAATCTCAGTACCCAGGGATAGTGGTTAAATAAATCCCTAGCCCCCTAGCAACCCAGACTTTGGGGCACATTCTCCTGCATATTCCTCTCTAGTGAGAGGTGGCCAGACTCAGTGTGTTGCTTACACAAAACACCTTTTCTTTGCCCACCACTGAGATGATTGGTATATAAAATGATACCCGGGATAATAAACAATCCCCAAGAGCACCAATGATAAACAACAGAAAAGAAACGTAGTTTTTCATCACATACGAACAGACAAAGCAGCATTACCACTGACTGATAGGCAATAGTCACTTATTGTCACAAACTATAAAGAAAGAGTGACTGGTTTTGTTTTCATTTATCTCACTGAGAAAGTGTATTGTATCCTATAGCTTGATAAGAATTTATTTGACTTGTTAATGTTAATAGCTGATTATAATGAAATTATAATGGGTTACAAGAATAAAAAATAGTAGCTAGCAATATCTTTTCCACCAATAACATATTTTTATTAATTTTCTTTTCCATGAGAATATATATTATGGAGAAATAAAAGTGTTTATAGAAAATTATGTTTATGTTACTTTTATACTTATATTAAATGAGCTGAATACTTAAAACCTAGGCATACGTTATTTAATTTAAGGTCAACTTTTTTCCTAGGTATCTGTGAGTGGCAACAGAGCTCATAACAACCATCTTCTGTGATAAATTGGTTGTTTTCAATAGATGTTTGGAAGAACTACTTTGTGCAAGTGATCTGATGTGAGGTAGGCAATTTCTTTTCATGTCACTTCAAAACTGGCTTTGTGAAACTTTCTGATGCAAGGAAATTCCACCGTTCCCTATTTAGTCTGCTTATTATATATTCTGAATGTACTGGTCATGTGTATTTACTGAGTCTCCAGTCTAAATCCTCTTTCTAAAGTATCCACTGCAAACACCCATTTCAGTGCAGGGTCTGTGCCGTATTCCTACACTCCTGCCAAACTAACAGCTGAAGGAGTTTTTCGTATACTAGTGCTGTCGGAATGACATCTACTTTCTGTCTTACACTAAAATGTCTCCTCTTGTATTTCACATTAATGCTTAGTGGGAGCACAGTCTCCGTGGAAATCAGATACAGCAAGCTCCCTGCATCAGCAAGCACACTTTCCTCACACCTAAACTTCTGAATGTGTTGTATTGGCTGTAGTGCTGTTTTGAGTTCTGTGTTATTCACAATTGATGGCTTGATTTTTTTTTGTATTGCTTTAAAAATTCTTATCCTGCTTTCCTACTTTATGTTTGGGCACTACAGCTTCAAGTTCTTTCATTTAAGGGAGAAAAAAAAATGTAGGTCAAATGGTCTGAGACAGTCTGTGTCACTTTCACTCTGCTCCTGTATTGGTGGGCTCATTCTTCTGCAATGCTGCCTGCTAGGAGTGCAGCATGCTGAAACCTTAGCATCTCCCACGTTTTCATCTGACTGCCTCTCCCAGAGTTCCGTTTTCAAGCCTCCCAGTTTGCTTGGTGCTGCAGAGCCTGAAGAACCGTTTTCTATCAAGAGAATACGGAGTCTCAACCTGTCTGCCTTTGCCACCTTATCTAGGTGGCCAGCAACTGCATAGAGCAGTATGGAAGACAGAATCTGAAGTCTTCAGCATGGCTCCTGGGCACTCCCTCCCCTTTTGCAGAGACATGGGGGAGAGGGTGGAAATTTCATGGTAGCTTTTGCCATAGTTGCCTAATTGGGATTATGTAGGAGACATATACACCCAGTTGGTCCCAGGGGATAATTCCATAGACTGCAGGTGTTGCATGGACCCTTAAGAGACACTGTTTTGCATTCGCAGGTACCATTCCTTGAAGCTTCATCATTTATTTCTAAGTTTGTGGAATTTTTAAACTATTTGCTACATAACATTATGAAACTGAAAGAAAACCTAGGGGCCATTATGCGTAACAACTAGAAGAAAAAAATATATATACTTGTAAATATTACATGTAGTGTGACCTGAATAGCTAAATTCAAAAGGCAAACTAAAAGTGAAACTTTTCAATATGGAGAGGGTGGCTTGAAAGGTGCACATATGACCGGAGTATAAGGATGAAAAGACCCTTCTTCCAGATGCCTGGCCTTGCACTCCCAAGTTTTCTTTCCACAGTTTGGTTGAGTTTAATCTTAATGGCTTCTCTTCTGGACTGCCCAAAGATGGCTCCTGAGACGTTTATGGTCATTTTTAGGACAAATTTCTCTCATTCCTGTCTAAGCTTCAAACCTGGCAATGCAAGAAGTCTTTACCATATCGTTCCTCTAAGTACCTTTTGACTTGTTTTTTGTTCTTTCAGTTTTCTCTTTTAAGACAGGGTTCTCTGTGTAGCCCTGCTGTCTTTTTGCTTGCCTCTAACTCAGAGATCTACCAGCCCTTGCCTCTGTTGTTGATATTAAAGGCATTGGTCACTGCATGTGGCATCTGGTTTTAAAATATTAAAATGTCATATATTTTCCATAGAGAAGCAATGGCTGATAATACTATGAAGAAAGTCAGCTTTCCACTCTTAAGATATTGAAGTTTTAGCCAGGCATTTCTGAATGCCAGATTAAATCTAAATACCAGAATTACCACTGTGATTCTCAAATGATCACAAAATCAACTTAAGCTGTGTAGGCGCACCACACGCGTATGTGTGTAAACGTTCCATATACTCATTTCAATACATCTCATGGTTCCAGAAAGTTCCCAGATTGTCCGTGCAGTATAGGAAATAAAAAAAACACAAAAACCACCTCAAAAGCTTAAAATGACTCGAGAAATTCCTTTAAACAGAAAATTCATGCAAAACCCTGCTTTAATATGACTTTTCCTGGGACCTGGACGGTTATGGCTGTTTGCACTTCCCTTGCCTTGTGGTGTGTGTGTGTGTGTGTGTGTGTGTGTGATGGTTAGTGACTTTGGGAATGTTGGTGTTCTTTTCTGCTGAGTCACTAATTTTGCTGCTCTGTCCCCAGGTGCCACTCAGCATAAAAGTTACAAGTGCAGTTGGGAAAGCGCTGCGAGCTGTCAAGTGGAGGAAACCATTTCCCTAAGAGAAACAAGGTCCTGGTTTGCGTTGGTTTTCCCGGGAAGGAAGCTTCCTTACAGCAGCCCAGGCATCAAATCTGCTTTGCTTGAGAAGCGGCTTGCTAGGCGCAAGAGCAGGACTTCTCAGCCGGGCTGGTGATGCTTTCTGGAACCTGGCTGGTTTGGCCCACTGCAGTCCCCCCCCCCCCCTTTGCTAAGGACCCAGATCCCTACAAAACAGCGAGCAGTTACTTTCTCTTCGAGGAGGCTGAAAGAGCAGTGATATTTGCGGCTCTTTCCTTGTCGTGTTAACCGCCTCTTACTAGTAATAGATGTGATTTCTGTGGGCGACGGATGGGTGTACTGAGGCCTCGGTGATTAATAGTGAATTCCCATCGGCGGGCATCTCTCTGCCCCTCTTGCGTGATGTAAGATCAGACGTACCCCTGCATCGAAAAGTCCAGACATACAGCGCCTGGCTGGCGCTCGCACGCTCTCCGCAGGCGCGCTTCCGCACACCTTCCACATCCTGCTCCTGGCAGAGCAAGACGGACTGGCTGGACCCACCGACCCAGGGATTTCCAGTGACATTTGTAAATGACGCGGCTCAGTTCCAGGCTGCCAGCGGCCGCGGCCGGGCCAAGGGTGCCGCCGAGCAGTCTGCAGCACAGGCTCACCGGGAAGATCACCATGTCCCAATTGCTTCTCGCTGTCCTCACTCTCTCGGGATTATTGCCTACCGCCGAGGTGCTGATTGTGGGAGCTGACCAAGGTAAGGGCCACGACCCCCCACTTTCACAGTTTCCCCCTTTGGCTTTCCTGCTAGGTGATGCTGGCAAACAACTGAGTGTGAAACTTAAGTCCTTGGCAGCCCCGCTCCCGGGACCCACTGGCCAGTGTGCGCTAACCTCCTGGGGGGAGAGGGTTATTGGAGGGTTTCTGAACTAGGTGCCAGAGTGTACCGCTGCCCCGCACATTTTACCCTTGTCATTTTCGGGTGCTGATTTTGTATGTCCCCCTTCCCCCCGGGAGCATTTGTACTTGGCCAGTGGCTTCTGCCCGGGCATCCTAAGCGCTGCCGATGTTGAATCAGAATTCGCATTTCTTTTAGACTCCCTTTGGCGCTAGCTTTCAGCTGAGAGCTTGAGCCTCCTGATTATCCGCCATAGACAATTACTCTCCCAACTTAGCTCCTGGTTTACTTCCTCAGCTGTGCATCTGGGGAGAGGTGTCAGAGCTCTCTCCCTCCCGGAGAGATTCTGTCGCCTTTTGCGGGGGGTTGGATTGGCTTGGGTGGCTAGCAGAGAAGCTCCTTAGGGCTTTTCTGAGACCATTCAAGCACCTGCTTGAACTTGCCTTTTCTAACGGGGAAGGTCTGTGACCCAGGACCAGGGTACCTTGATAGCCTTATGAACTGGAGAGTCTGACTCCATCTAGCCTAGCTCTTTGAGCTCGCTTTTCATCAAAAAGCTGGGAACGGTAGAAGTTCAGAGGGGAAAGGTTATGGGGAACTCAGAGAGAAAGAAAGGATTATAAACCTAGGCTCTGAAACTTTTGACCTGGAAACCCACAATTCCTCTTATCTTTTTACTATCATCGATGAGGATATGTGGGTTAAAAAGGGAAAGGGGAAAATCGCAGCAAAGAAACATTTGCACACTGTCACCAGGCTCAGAAGGGTTAACTCCTTAAAGAAAAATTAGAAGTATCATAAATCCCGAACTGGCCTCATAATGACCATATAATTCAGTTTTTTTCCACTTAATTAGGAAAAAGAAAATAAACAAAAATATTAAAAACCTCAAATACACAGATGTCAGTGGAAAGCAAAGAGCCAAGGTCTTGCACTGTGAGAGTCAGTCGGTTCAGATGAAAGGAATGATGAATTGACTAGGAACTAGTTTCATAAGAGGACAGGACCGGATGGACTGTAATGGTCCTGTTTAACCTACTCTTAGCCACCAGCTCCTAATGCCATAGGAGGCTCACACATGGCATTTCTAGGAGTGGCTCTGGTAATCTTTCAGGAACACCACTGCCGAAACATAAAGATTCTGAACTAGTTTAAGTTGCCTTGAAGTTGCTGTGGAAGACTTGAAAACGGTGTAGATAAAATGGAAGCATGCGGCTCTCACTTGAAATGACGGTGGCTTTGATCTGCCACAGTCGCTCCTCAACGTCCCTTAGCAAAAACGTTTGAAGTTGGGCTGAAACACATGAGAAGGTGTAGCTTCTGGCTCAGGATGCTGGCAGAGCAGGCTACAGACAGACTGTTGGTCTTGGGTTTCTTGTGATGGAATATACACCCCCACACACCCACCCGCACACCCTGGAGTCTGACCTCACCCCTAGCTCAATGCTTTGTGTATTTCTGTTGCATACTGCTGCTGCTACCTGAGAGGAATGATTGAAATCTTAAGAGAAGTTTGTCTACAATAAATAAATAAAAATCTGCTTTCTCAAGAGATAAGGAATTAGCATCAAGAATAGTATTCAGTGTCAATATAGTTACAGAAAAGAGAAGAACATCTAAGGTTACATGGAAAATAATTGTCAGCTTTCATGACTTAATTGAATGTTAATTATCAGCTGAAAAAAATTGTCAGACGTACTTTGTCATGGAGTGCAAGCATGGCATAGTTGCAGATCAACACTTACTGAATTCTAATATCTCTAATTGAACTCTCAAAACTTAAAAAAAAACAGTACAAGTGTACCGATAGTCTATGAAAAGTGTAAGAGTCATCTTCAATTGTTTCTAAGAAGAGAAGAGAGGAGGGTTAAAGGGAGGTAGGGAGAGAGAGAATCTTGTTAAATGTTTAAAATGAGAACGTAGCTGCATTATGACAGATGCCCCCCACTGAGATGCTGACAGTGAAGACAAGGCTTATAACCCAAGAACAAGGTTAATGACATGTAGCTGCCTTCAGGCTTGTGGCAGTGGCAATGGCCCTTGAAGAAGAGAATATATGTGTGAAAATACTGGTGAGTTTAATAGTGTGAGGGGGAGCTTTATGTCTTGACGTGTGAAACCACGTCTGGGTCCTCCAGATGCTTAAGGTAAAGGGAGCTTCTCTTTCTCAAGGGAGGTGCTTGTGTTCTGCTCTACTGTGGCATCCCTGTGAAGTTTGTGAGCAGAGGCTAAAGTTTTTTTCATAGCTAAAAAGCAAAACATAGCAACAACAACAAAGTAAAAAAAAAACACCATACTTCAAACTCATTTGTATGTTTAGTGTCCAAGCCATATGCAACGACCTGTCGTTTAATGACACGTGGTTTGCCTAATTTACATTGATTTTTATACTGTCAAAATAATGTATGTGCCAGTTCTTATTACATTTCATTGTATCTGAAAAAGGAAATGTCTTTATAACTCATAACAGGCAAAAGGAGGATACATTGTATTCATTTAGAATCAACTAATTTGTCTTTTAATGATGTCATAGTATATCAAAGTATCACGTGGTAATGATTAAGACATAAAAGGAAGTATGTCTTAAGTTGTCAAATTTTCTGAAAAGAATGGGAGGTGGGAAACCAAAGACCAATTAGAACCCTTGAGTCTGATAAGATGTTGAGAGTTATTTCCAGATAATTAGTGTTCTTGCTGCTTCTGTCCTCTTCTTGCGTCTGCTTAAGACCAGTAAAAGGTTACAACTATTTATGCTTTCATTTTAGTTTTCTATCTCTTAAAAAATGTAATTCACATGCCTGTGCAATTCATATCTCCTTTGATCAAATGTTCAGATTTTGTTTTTGAAGAAGTATCAAAACTGTGACTCAGTTTCCTTCCAACTTCCAAAGTTAAGTTTAAATAGGAAAACAAGAGAAAAATGCAAATGTGTTAGAACAATAAGAAAGACTTACATAGAAACAGTAAAAGGGAGGGCATGTGCTGATTGAAGGAGCCATTATCTTTAAATTAGTAATGTCTTGCATTCTTTGTCTTTTAATTTCATAATGAATAGTAGTACAGAGATAATTTAAAGCAACTTCCATCAATGTTGCTTACCCTGTGTTCAATTACTCCTCTAAGAGTAGAGAATGCATGAGATTGCCACAGAAAACTAAGAACTAACTACGCTGGAGTTATTAATACAGATTTGCTTTTGAGTAAATGTGAAAGAAATTGTAGAGTTGCTTCTCAGTGATAGCACTAGTGTATTCAGAGGAAGGAAGTAGCTCTTTACAAATGCTACTGACCTGTAAAGGCAACAGTGTACCGAGATTTTCTACGCACCTACATTGGATCCACAGTACTCATTACTTCTTAGTTGCTTTGTCGATTGAACTCTTGTCTGAGCCTATGCCCTACAATAAAGATAAGATCCATTTAAAAACCACTTGCAGTGAACACAGGTTGGTTTTGAAAGGAAATGCAATGCTTCCGGACCTCCACTTCTTCTCTCTATTCTGTGCTGTAATATGACCTTTATCCTAATAATATCATTGGGTTTGTTTCTGCAGCTAATTCTTATGTCTTACATGGATTACATCCCCATTGTCTACTCCTTCCTAGTTACAGGGAAGAAGGGTGGGCAAAAACTCCAGCGAGACACAAGAATAGATTGCTCCCTCTTCTGTGCCTGTCTGTCAAAACAATTCTTGTACAGAGGAAACACTTGTCTTCATTCCAGATAGATACATTCAAAGAAAGTAGAATTAATGCTGAACGTTGAACATGCATGTACCAACATAATGTCACTAGTCAAACCAATGCAGGAGCAAGTAGATCCTACTCACATGTGAAATTTGGATTTATGTATCTTTTTTAAAATGACAGCTTCGATGCAAAGACCATAAGATACCACTATGGCGTCAACCTTGCAGATACTGTTTACCAAATCAAAGTTTTTACTTTTTTATAACTGTAGATAAAATGATGCTTGTGATTAGTGCATCCTGAGACACAGAAATAAAAATGTGAAATGAAAAACTGTGGAAATATTTCTTGACCCGAAGCAAGCAGTACTCTAATGAGTTTCCATATGGCTAATATTTTGTTTTCACCCAGTCTGAAAATGGAAGTTGCATATGTGAAAGTGCTTTTGCCCCCTTTGAGTTTTTCAGTGGAGAGACTGAGGCCAGTGTCCCACGCATGTTGAACCTGTGCTGTCACTGAGCCCCACCCAGCCCTGAGCAATTGCCTGTGAAAAAGCTTCACAAGCTTGCCATTCAAATGATTTTTAGTGGCTGGAATAGGGAAAATTTGTTCTGCCAAATTTAATCTGAGAATAATGACAAATATAATATATGCACCTAAATGCATGGAGAAAGGAAATTCAAAATTTTGGATTTTTTTGCTTTATAGAAGGGAGGCAAAATTATTTTAGCTAGCTAACACTGAAATTTTGAAGCAATACCTTTCTCTGCTTCTACTGTCCTGTTAATCCTTAAGCCCAAACTCCTACCTACCAGTCTGAGGAAAAAATCCTAATAGTTAAATATGAAGCAATGCTAAATGCAGAAACATCTGTAGAATTTGTTTATTAAAGTTAATATTAGGTATAATTCCTATGTGCATCAATTTATATTTACCTAAATCACTTTTAAGCTGTATCATGTTCACAATAATGTCAAGTCACTGTTTTCAATCTTACATAATCTCTCATCTAAGTAACATTGTGATTTTACCAACTGAGCCCTCCATATCAGAGAAAGAACACCAAACCCTCCAGAATATATCCCATCACACATCAGAGGAAATGACCTGAAAAATGTATATACTTTCTTCTATTAAAGGGTTTTCTTCCGTGTACTGTCTGAACAAAT